TCACAGTAAGACCCTCAGCTCATCTGAAATGGAATTCTGGACCCTGGATGGCCCTTCAGAATTACTCCGAATTGGGGCAAGGAGATCTTTATATACTCCTACACTGACCAGTTATTGGATGCAATGTGCCTGCAGGAAGGAGCAGTGACTTTGGGTGATATGACTCTCTTCAGCCATAGGCAATAAATGCCCAGGCAGAGTACCTTGGCAACAAGTCATTAGCCAGCAACATTTCCAGCAGGTGGGGGAAGGAGTACTTCAGCTCTGAAGGGGGCCATGAGTCAGCACAACATAGTATTTCCCATAGCAAGTATCAGGGAAGACTTCCTGGAATAAAGGAGACTCTTAAAGATTTAGAAAATTTATCCAAATTTGGGTTTATGTGTATAGAGTAAGGATATGACATAAACAAAGGCATGGAAGGTTTAAGAAAATTATAAGTAATTAATGGAACATAATTATAATGAGGAAGGGTTGAGGGGAGAGTCTAATAGAAATAGCTGAATATGTAGATAGCAGCCAGGTCATGAAGAGTTTTAAGCAGAAGGCTTTAACCTATAGATATTTGAACATTGTGGAAACAAATGAAGAACAAAGACCAAGTCAGATTGTTTTAGAAAAACCATCCCACAATAGTGTGGAAGATATATTTGAGAGTATCAAAATTGGAGGTAGGCAGGCTTTTATAATAGTAGTCCAGGTGTTAGATGACGAGAATCTGGATAATACTAACTCTTTAGAGGAAATATTTACTATTTCACATTGAATGCATGTTATTTCAGATGATGTGTTCATCATGACACTCTTACATTATTGTTTTTTCTTATTTATATTCTCCTGGGTTCTATAGATTTTATTTTCTATCTGAGAAAATCATTTGGAATTTCCTTAGAGGATAAAAAGAAAATATGTGCATTACATATACATTTGTAAGTTTATCTATCCATCCACAACACTTACTTTTAATCAATATGTGTCTAGAACATGAGAAAGATTTTTAAAATTAGCTTTATACATATGGCACAGCTATAGCAAGAGTTTTAAAATGCAATTTCTGTTAAGATAGAATATTAAAAATGAAACTCTCAAAGAACTTCTGAATATGACTTGAAAGAAGAAAAAGTATAAAACAAAAATCTAGCATGAATCCCATAGTTTTGATTTTAGTTGGAATTTAGTTGAATTTGAGCAGGTCAGTTGATCAAAGTCTCAGTTTCTTAATCTTTAAAATGTGTCTAATAATACCTACCTGAAAAAGTCACTGTCAGGACTAAATGATTAAAGTGTTAAAAATCATTTCATAGATTATAAAATACTATACGAGTGTCAGCATTAATACTTTTAACAATGTATCACAACGAGGCATCCTAATTAAGAGGGAAGAGCAGTGAGTGGAGGAGAAGCACTCGGAGGCAAAGCGGGACATCTGGAGTTGTAACTGCGAGCCGCGTGCGGCGCTACTGAATCAGACCTGGCATGAGCGAGTGATGACACAGGTGGAGGGGGAAGTCACCAGGGTAGCTTCCCTTTCCAAGCTTCTGTTTGCTTTTCTTTGAAAGAGTGAATAACACCATTTCATAGTATGATTATTTTAACTAAGCTTTCACTAAGCATCATGTTTTAATGAGTTCTAATTTCCCATTCGATGCCAACATGAGTCTTAATACTTAACTGCATGAGAAGGCGATGATGACAGAACTATTTTCTTCTGGATCTTGGCAGGGAAGAGGCCCAGAGTCACTACCATTATTGCAGCAGCATTATTGAGTAGAAACCACACCGAACCAGGTAGGAATCAAACATTCTCTATTTAAGTCTTTCTCCCTCCCTGGGCTAAATATTGCCTATTTCTGGACCTCAGCTTTGTTTTCATTAAAGCCAGAGGTTTAGAATTAAATTATTAAGTTCCTTCTGGATTTACAGTTCTGATTATCAAGGTTCAAAGTACTCTCAAGAAAGAAAAATGGGATCGAAGGGTATATGCCCACTCTAGCTGGGAGACTTATTTTTTGATAACAGATCTGCATCATATGGGTGAAGATCAGAGTCACACAGATGTTGAAGGAACAGGAAATGCTCAGTGAGAGCAGTGGGCACCACGGTGGCGGAGCAAGCGCTCCTTCCTTACATTGATGCCAGAACGATATTTATATCACGCACCCTGAAGTCTACCTCAGATGCCCGCAATCCTCCTAAACCTGCCCAAACACTCTTTGTCCCCTTAATACCATTCTACCCTCGCAAACACATGCATGCATGCGCGCGGGCACACGCGTGCACACACACACACACACACACACACACACAAGAACTGAGGGACATTTTGGAAAGAAACCAAAGAAAATTCTTCAGGAGCCTAGAAAAAGACTAGACTAATTATTTGCTAGTCCTATTGTCAGGCCGTCTGATATTAGCCAAGTTTCATATAGTTTCAAGTTTCAGGTCAAAACATTTACATAAGAGTACCCCTGATGTTTTACAGTGGTTTTTCTTGTTATAAAACTCTCAAAATATTGACCTCCTTGGAAACATTTCTTCTTACACTCCATTGCATTTTATAAATGTCTCTTCTTTGGTTTCTTGAGTTGCCATTATGTACAACCTCATGCCCCTACCCCCACCCCATGAGACTATGAACTCTTTAGATCTATTTCTCATTCTCTGTTGTGGTGACATCATCACTGTTTGTTAAGAAAATGATTATTATGTCTCCAAGGATCCAATCTCATACATAACCCACTAAAATAAAATGGAATGTGTTCATGAAAAAGTTGTAGATTTAAAGTCCTAAAGACTGGTATATATCAAAAAGACAAATAAGCAGCCAAAACAGTTGACTATGAGGAGATGGCCACACAGGTTGGAAAAAAAGAAAAACCAGAAGGCTTTTGTTACTGTCACTGCATTTTCCTTGCAGCAATGTGATAATCTTTTAATGCACACAATTGTGTTTCCATTACCGATATAGAGTAGCCACACTATCGAGAGTTTAAAATTATTGCCACTATAATTTACTGATTAAGAAACTGAGGCACACACAGTTAGTAAGACCTGCTATGTG